CCATATTCCAAACACAAACTTTCAAATATGTGACGTCACAGCCCAAAATTACCTCCTTCCCCAGGCCACATTACTGCCATAAAGCTGATTCTTTTTACTCTGTAGGCACCACAACAAAGTTCAGACCAAGTTTTAAGCGATTTTTCAACGAACAAACCCATTAAAATCAGAATGACTAAACGAGGTGACGTCACACTAACGATCGCTCCATGTTGAAGATAGGGCCTTGTACAAGGCCCATTTTCAAATGAAGGGAACGAATTTCCTCAACACCAAGAGGCCGCGGGGGTTGCAACCTAGATAGATAGTGGTTTCTGAACCTCGCCGCAAACTTGGCTATCTCAACTCAAACCCCATGTTAACCCTCGCCCCGTTGGGGGGGGGGGCCATTTTGGCCCCCCCTGTGGTTTTTCCTGAATAGCAAGAAAACGGCGGCGCGCAGCGCCGCTAAATTTTCAGTACCTTCCCGGGCATCAATTTGACACCTTCACACAAAATTTCAAGTCTTAGGTCATCTTAGGTCAGGAGTTATTGAGGTCAAACTGAGGTCATGTTAGAGCGAAAATGAGCAAAAAACATGCAATCTTTAAACGCTCACCAAATCTACAGTTATCAAGCAATTTCAAAGTTCTTTATATGGTCTAGTAGACAAAAAGCGGCGCTACAAAACTGCTGTCTCGGATTTTCAAAATTTTGGGTTTTTGACCCCCAAAAATTCAAAAAATTGATTTTTTTAGAAAACTTTTAAAAAATCCTAAAATTTTCCGAATTTCGAAATAACCGGAATATATATGCTAGTCCGTGCGCTCTTCTATATACATACCAAATTTCAGATCGATATCTCGTTTTTTGGCCAAGTTATAGCGAAAAAACTGTTCAAAAATGATGACGTCAAATTTTTGAACTCAATTTTTAGCGATTCTAGACCACGTACGGCAAAACAAAGACCACCATTGAACTCCCCGTGACAAGCTGCATCGATTCGATACCCATTTTATGCAAAAATATCAACTTTGAAATTTGACCTAATTTGACCTGACCTTGACCTGACCTTGACCTGACCTTGACCAAAACGTGACCTAAGCTGGCCCCAAAGGCTGCCTGACCCACATAATCGCATTTGTCATGTAAAATGGACCATAAAACATGTATCACACGACACTTTCATATTGTGACCCCCCAGTGACCTGACCTCTGTGACCTGACCTGGTATCAGTGACCTTAAATAGCAAAATATGTGTTTGAAGAACATTTCCCCATAGATGATTTTCAATGAAATGCATTTGACTCGATTTTACAACGAATTTCTTGAAATGCCTGTAAACGGTGAAAATTGGACCTTTGACCTGACCTGTGACGTCATCGGTTTGACCTAGGTCAATAAAATTGGGTCACAAGGTAGTTCCCTGATAGGGCTATCCAACACCGTTTGCCGCTTGTCGCTAGGTTGCGTGGTTCTCGAGATCTTAGGGGGGGGGCCAAAATGGCCCCCCCAACGGGGCGCGTTGCTCGGCAGAGCCCAACGGGGCGCGGGTTAAAGGTGGGATAGTCCCTTTAAAATATCAGTGACTTCTTAGGGCAGGTCAAGGGCCCCAAGGCATTTGATCGGTTTTTTGGAAAATAGCTAAACGCATTATCGTCATTTCGATACAATCGTGTTTTCTGTTCTCAAACGCGTCGATTTATAGATTTTTTGTTTAGGTGAAGCAATTTAGGATGTTTACCTCAGGTCAATGTCATGTTAGGGCAACGCAGATCACGAAGCTGTTGAAAGGAGGACATGTTGCATAACATTTGATTCGGCAAGTCTTGCAAAGTCCATTGATGGCTGTCCCGACTGGCTAGCTCATTTTGGTCGAGAGTTATTGACGAAACACTCCTATGACCCTAGTGACGTCATAAATGACGTCACGCAAGGTGAACAATGCAAAAGTGAAGCATTAGACCTTGCCAAGAATGTATGAAGTCACGATTTCATGTGCTTGAGGTATAGTTTCAGATCATTCCCGACGTCAAATTAACAGTTTCCATAATTCCCCATTATGCTTATATGACACTAAGTGCATTGCGGATTTGCATTATTTTATAACCGACAACCGTGCAGAGGTTTACTTAAGACGTCATAGTTAACCCGCGCGGGGCTGGGGTCTCCAGCCGAACGCGCGGGGCTGGGGGGGGGGGGGTAAATTTTACTCCCCCTGTTATCTCCCGAACTAATGGTCCGATTTGGAAAATTCAAACGCCAATCGAAAGCTCTCATCACGAACTACTAAAAACATGTATTTAATTTAAAGTTTGAGGTCAAGGTCAAGGTCAGGTCAAGGGTACAAATTGCAAGTTTCCACAGTATCGGCCTTGCACCGTAGTTGGCGAAGAATGGAGTCATGGACTGAGACTGATCGCCCAAAACGTGTTCTTAGGCTACCAAGACAATATTAGTTGCATACAATATCATTCAGAGGTCAAGGTCAAGGTCAGGTCAGGTCAGGTCAGGTCACCAAAAAACAAAATATAGAAAAGGGCATGTGCGACACATGTTTTATGGGTCATTTTACTCATAGAATTCAATAGGCACACTCAATAAGTGATATGGACCACCTCTGGATGAATTTCAGGTCGAGGTCAGGTCAAGGTCAGGTCAAGTGAGGTCAAATTTTGAAGTTGGTTGTTAAGGCCTAAAAAGGTGTCTATCTGATGCAGTTTTTCACGGCGAATCGAATGGTGCTATTTTTGTTTCCGTACGAGGTCTAGAACTTCCAAAAAAGTCATTTTTCTAAAAATTTGTGTGTCGTGACGTCATAAAATTTTGAATAACTCCCACATTTTTGAACCGATTCTTCTAAAATTTGGTATTTAGGTGCACATAGACCACTTCTCTGACATATATTCCGGTTTTTTCGATAGACTCAAAATTTTGGATTTTATAATGATTTTCCAAAAAAAATCAGTTTTTTGAAAAAATTTAGGCCAAAATCCAAAATTTTCAAAAAACCGAGATAGCCATTTGATAGACAAAGTAAAATTACGTATAACCTTTTTTGTTACGTCTTGATTCCTTTAAAAATGAAGATGTTAGCGGCGTTTGAACTTTTGCCGTTTTTGAGGCGAAAATGGCGAACATGACGTCACTAAAACGTCAATTTCTCAAAAATTTTCCGACGGATTTCGCTCAAATTTTCAGGGAAGGTGTCAAATTGATTTAAGAAAAGGTACTGAAAGTTTGGCGGCGCTGCGCGCCGCCGTTTTTGTGATATCGCAAAAATTCGCGAGGGGGGGTAAAATTTACCCCCCCCAGCCCCGCGCGGGTTAAGTGACCTGACCTGAAAACGTGGTTGATGTCAAGTGATCCGGCTTAAATGAAATGTAAGGCGTGTGAAATGTCAGCCTTCTATCATCAGTGTGCTTTGAGCTACCGCAAAAAATACATGGTGGCGGCATCCACCCCTTCTTCTCGGCCGGCGAGGGTTAAACCTCGCTTCGAATTATTGCAGATAATGATGCGACCGAAAACAAAGCATTTATCTGTGTCTAGAACGGCCGCTGACTTGTTGGACAAGATCCCCAATCTTAATTCGCTAGATGGGAATAAAATACTCGGTATGTGATACATATAGTTATACCTCTCGATTTGCCCTCGCGCTAAGTCTATTCTAATCATCACTGTCGCTTTTTTATCCGAGATGATGTCGCCGCTAAACGGGTTGTTTTGTTTGCTTGCTTGCGTTGAATGGCCATTACGAATTATTGAAGGATTATGATAAAATAGGAATGAGGCAAGGGAGGATATGCACTGCAGGTGTTTTAATTTAGATCACAAAGGCATCATTTCCGGCATCGTGCAGAGTCATTATCTTCCCCTCCTCTGCACTGCGGCATCTCTGCGCCCCACACACGGCGTCCTCACTCCACAGCCGGCCGCCGCCAACTGACCCACTCGCCGGGCGCCGCGACCTGACCCGTGTCGCTGCCGCGGCCTGCGCAATAGAGTCGGGGCTGGAATCCGGGGGTTCGGCCGGCCGGCCGCCTCTGGAGCGGGGGACTTTTTTAGTAGACCTACTGTACTTTTAAGACAGACTGTACTTATCATTTGACCATCCCATCAATTATCAGTGTAACAAAGAGCTACCGAATAGCAAGATTACTTTACTAACCAATGCCCAATAGGACAACAGGGGGAGGAGGGAAGGTTTCGGCTCCATACATGATAATATATGTGCAAAGATCAAAGGCCATTGCAAACATATATCGCTTATCCACTACCATCGTAGTTCCCGGAGCTGACACCAGGTGTCAGGTTTCTGCAGCAGGTCCTGGAGCATAGGTACTGCACGTAGCGCCGGAAGTTTAGTCCACCCTCAAACTCGGCATTCGAGCCAGCGTGATGGAAAAGTACGGTGTTAGGTCGGATGACCCGAGGAGAGGCGCGCTGTTTTGTTTAGCTTCGGCCGGTTATTTCCAGAATAAACTGGTTATATCTGGAAGCACTAAAAACGCCTGGCGTGGCCTATGGTCAGTTCGTACTAAGTACTAACACCGCTTCTCCTCAAATCTCCGTAGCCACGATGGAGAGCGGCAGGGTCGCAGCCGAGGCGGCTACGGGTATCAAGATGCCTAGATGGCAGCACTGTACGGCTGTACCTCAACAGACTACAGATGGCAGTAGCAGCACCTCACGGTGCGCTAGGACAGGTTTGGGACAGATGTAACACAGCGCCACCTGTTTTTTTTTTTCAACGTTTATCCAGACCAATATCTCCCCCCAATTCCTATCATCCTTCCGGCTCTGAAACGGTCTCGTCTGTCCGAAAGATCTCTCCCCCCCCCCCTAAAGTGCACCACTCACCGCTAGCTCTCTACCACACTGTTCACTTCTCTCCAGTCCCTTCCCTCTCCAATTTTCCCGTATTTGTCTTCCTTCTTCAGTCTAAACTACTGACTACATGACCACGAAGACTTCAACTCTGTCCAGCAAAACCTGTGTCCTGCGAAAACCAGCCGCCAACGGTACACATGTTTGTATTTGATCGACACGCTGGAAGGTTCAAGGCTCTGAACACTAGCGCAGCAACGGATATCACATGAACGTAGCTAACATATGTCACATCTCCAACAGCTCAGCGCTCTCACACAGTGCTCTACAGACACGCTAGTATGCTACAGCCGGGCCATGGATCGGTATGAGCGGCGAATATGAACGATATGTCCAGAAATACGTGTGGCTCACGGCTACATCAGCTCGCCGAAAACCTCCAAAGCCACGGGCTCGGCTGATCCTGGTCCCTACTCGGTCCCCGAGACCACAGGACCTGGAAGCTGGCCTCTAAGTGATGGAGCTCTGTGATCAGCCTAGCTAAACATTACTTTTAGGCCGACTCGACCCAGGCTCACTAACGAACAGCCTAACCAGCCCTAGCGTACACACACGGCGTTCACTCACACGCGTACACGTACTTGTTCCACTCACGCAGTGACGACGACTTAGTCTAGGCTACCGACACAAAAATATACAGAAATACTTTTATTAAAATCTCAGCTGAACACCAAAGAACACAGCAAATGGAAATGGACAGAGAAAGGAAGAGGCTTAAAACGTGTTTAAAATCTCATCAACGGCACGCTAAGATCGCAGCAAGGCCAGCTATTATACACTGAACCATTCCGAACACAATAAACGATCTCCCTCACTGGCAACACTGCACTCGACCTTCCTGGCAGTCAACATCTCCTCACATATGGCAGATATGCATCCTTTCAGCAGTCCGTCTCACCCACTGACTTTCGTCGACAGTGGCGCCGCCTTTACCCAGTTTGATCGCGCTGGTGGCGCCACCTTTACTAGGCGTGGTTGAAGAGTGCGGCGCGCTGTTTGAATTCGGCCTTGCGCTCGCGACGCTCCTGCTCCAGGCGCTGACGCTCCTCCTCCTCACGGCGGATCTCGGCCAGGAAATTCTTGTCACGCTCCAGCTCGGAGATCTGCCAAGAAGACGAGCGGATAGTTACACCCCCACGCGACAGGCCCAGGCTGTTATTTCTCACAGGAGTCATGAGTTCGCTAATACGAAGAGGGCAGCCGGGGAAGTCATAAAACTAAAGTATTCGGCATAACTTATCTTAGATTAAATCATCTGGGAACGGGGCACATAAAACTACTTAACACATCACTTTCAAAGCAGCAAGGTCGATACAGGTGGATAGACAGTAAGACACCTAGGCGACTACGCGTCATTCTCGGAGCATATCGTGCTCACCTTGGCCTGGAAGAACTGTTTGGCGCCGGCCACGCCTACCTCCTCGACACTGATCTCTGTGAGTTTGGCCAGCTGACTGAGACCAGAGTCGGCCTGCAGCTCTCCGGCGGCCGCCTTCCGGAACACGGTCAGAAACTGGGGACAGACGAGGGAAACACGGTCAGAAAGGGGGACAGGGTACGGGCAATACGGTCAGAAACTGGGACAGACGAGGGAAACACGGTCAGAAAGGGGGACAGGGTACGGGCAATACGGTCAGAAACTGGGGACAGACGAGGGAAACACGGTCAGAAACTGGGGACAGACGAGGGAAACACAGTCAGAAACGGGGGCAGGGTACGGATAACACGGTCAGGAACTGGGGACAGACGAGAGAAACACTGTCAGAAACTGGGGACAGACGAGGGAAACACAGTCAAAAACTGGGGACAGACAAGGGAAACACGGTCAGAAACTGGGGATAGAAGAGGGAAACACTGTCAGAAACTGGGGACAGACGAGGGAAACACGGTCAGAAACTGGGGACAGACGAGGGAAACACGGTCAGAAACTGGGGACAAACGAGGGAAACACAGTCAGAAACTGGGACAGACGAGGGAAACACAGTCAGAAACTGGTGGCAGACGAGGGAAACACGGTCAGAAACTGGAGACAGACGAGGGAAACAGTCAGAAACTGGGACAGACGAGGGTAAACACAGTCAGAAACTGGTGGCAGACGAGGGAAACACAGTCAGAAACTGGGAACAGACGAGGGAAACACGGTCAGAAACTGGGGACAGACGAGGGAAACACGGTCAGAAACTGGGGACAGACGAGGGAAACACGGTCAGAAACTGGCGGCAGAGTAAGGACAACACGGTCAGAAACTGGGGACAGACGAGGAAAACACAGTCAGAAACTGGGGACAGACGAGGGAAACACAGTCAGAAACTGGGGACAGACGAGGGAAACACGGTGAGAAACTGGGGACAGACGAGGAAAACACTTGAGAAACTGGGGACAGACGAGGGAAACACGATCAGAAACTGGGGACAGAGTAGGGTAACACGGTCAGAAACTGGATGCAGAGTAGGGAAACACGGTCAGAAACTGGGGACAGACGAGGGAAACACGGTCAGAAACTGGCGGTAGAATGGAACGTTGTCAGAAACTGAGGCACAACCGCACAATATTCATCTTTGCTCGATTATCATCGTCATCTTTGCTGGAATATATCTATATGGGGAATCAAATAAAAACTGGCGATGAAACAGGACATATTTCAACAGCAGGTGAAAGAAAGGGGCATCAGCTCAGACGGTTGGCGAGTCATCAGTCCGATACTGATTGCAGAACGACTTGCTCACCGCTCTGAAGCTGATCATGTGGACGGCCTCGTCATCCGTCGCCTCCCTAATCATCTGCTTCAGGCCGATGTGAGTCTGCGGCGCCCCCAGCTTCTCCATCATCTTCTTCAGCTCCTCCAGGTCCAGGTAGCCGTCATTGCCGACATCATACCTGCGAAACAGCAGAGACGTCTGGTGAGCAGGGTTAGGAAGCAGAGGTGAGTGAGACGACCGCAGTGGACAGCGGTGGCGCTGCGGTCGATCCTACGGTCAGATGCAGTCAGCACTCGGCAGCGTGTGGTCATTACGTGCACTGATTGTACGATAACATGCCGATGCGTCACTGTCGAGAAGGCGGAAATGCACCGGAAATAGCGTTATCTGTTTGCATAGCGTGACTAGAAGAGAAGGTAGGTATACTTAGACAAAGCATGTGTACTGTGTAGCCTCGATTTAGCACAAATCTCGGACTGACGCGTTAGCAAACCGCATAGTACTAGCGGTGCAAGGTATGGCGTGCACGTATCAGGAGCACTGATCAATGATCACTATTATTTGAGTGGCGATATATCGCTAGCCTTTGACCACAAAGCTGTTTTTCCTAACCGCACTCGGCACTGAGTACGGACGGTGGTAGCGCCAAAAGCAGCTAATTTTCCGGAGAAGTCTGCCATTTCCTACAACCACCGCACAGAGGAAATCATTGCCTTTTTGAGGAAACAGCTAAATCAGCTACCATTTGTCAGAGCAAGCTGATCAGGGCCGACCCAGTGCAAGGTTGAGCGGAATGTCCGGTGGCCTCCACAGGCCTAGGGTCCAAGAACGCAAGAATGAGGGAAGAGCCGAGATTTACCTTGATACGCGGTACCAGTATGGACATTGACCATTGCTGCTAGATATGCTAGCATAGCAATATCATCTTTGCTTTCAAGTCGAATATTCAGTAGCATCACATTACAAAGCATCAACGAGCCGGGCCACGGCCAGTCTTTGTGTGCGAGTACTTTGCGTATCACAAGCCAGAGTCATTCTTTGTAAACACTCTGGCTATCAGAATTTAACTAAGAGCCAGTCATGAGTGTTCGGTGCTGCTTTAATAGATACCACACCACAAGGACGCACTTCTTGACAGTACGTGGCGGCCATGATAACTCTGACTAGCTAGCTTTTGCCTTTGTCTGCTATCTGCACCGGAACTGGGCGGAAGTTCGCCCTTCCGGTGGCGGTCATATATTGAATCAAGCATCCATCCCGTCCGCTGCGGTTGCGGGATCCTCCAACAGGCCAGGTGACGGGAAGCACCTGCCCTTCCCGGTCCCCAGCGATGGGACACCGGACATCGCATCAACCCCACACCTGTGTCCACTCCCCGCTGGACCACCGATATGGTGAGTCAGCGGCGCCGGCCGGGCGCGGCGGGTCGATTTGACCCGAGGGCTGCAGGGGATGACCCCGTCACGCACCGGTCGACAGGTTAGGGAAGGGAAGGGGAGGGTCCCCTGCAACTAACACGGATCGAGCCTGCTATATCGACCGCCCCTGCCGCTAACTTCAGCCAGGCACGGGACTTCCAAAACGAGCCAGCAGTGACACACCCACACCCTGACGGGTGGCTCGACAACTTGTCCACGAAACGACCACTCCCTGACTGGTGGCTGATGTCTGATGGACCAGCACGATCGGCTGTCCACCAGGACAGAGCACATCAGGAGGCTCGAAATAAACGGCAACACGGAAATATTCGACACTGAAACACCCGACGACAGTGAAACCCCAACAGTGTGACAGCTCTGACGGTCACTAACCCACAAAGGTCAGCTCTGACGGTCACTGATACCACCACGGTTAGTGCCCCCTGCTGGTCCGTGACCACTGGTCACCAATTCCCAGCAGACCCATGTCACAAGCTGACACGGCTTTACCGCAGGTGACAGACGAGGTCACAGACGGCGGCAGCGGAGGCAGCGGCCATCGGCAGACCGCCGCGCGTGTGGCGTCTGCCGATAATCAGCGAAGGGGCCGCCGCTCAGGTGTAAACAATTATCACTGGAGCAATTCAAACAGGCCCAGGCCGACCAAAAACAGCCAGCAGACACGCAGTCGCTGCGCTATACAGATTACACAGCTGAATAGGGGCACTGCTGGGATCACAATCATCTGCCGATTTTGCATGTCTATAGTTTGACTCGGCAATATTACATATTTGTCGTGATGGGTCAAGAGTCTTTTCCTCCCCACCCACGACGCAGGGAGCGGGCGGCATTTCCACTTGTCGACGCGTCTGCCGAGAAATCGTGCTCGTACATTATCTGTAGACCCTCGCGATGAGTGCGGTGTGTGAGCGCGTGCCCAGCCAGGGAGAGGAGAGTGCGTGGGGTCCCCATACGCGAGCCAAGAAGGCCCAGCACAGTGGGGTGCCGAGGGGATACGAAGTGCGAGGTGCGTTAGACGGGCTTTGCGGGGGCCCACTATGTCCCGTGCCGGTCAGCTATTTCTGGCCAACTATTATGGACTCCCGCTCGGCTCTCCCCAGCCTTGGACCCGAGTCGCTGTGCCGCCACTCGCCAGCCAGAGTAATAATGTGGCTCGAACACAGAGACCAAGCTGTGCCGCCTACATGGCGATAGAGCAACGGCATTCCCGCCTCCATCCATGGAACGACCATACACACAGAGTTAAGGTGCGTATGAAAGCTGCCATCATGACATTGAAGTCGCCCCACCGCCGTAGCAGTCCCATCAGCCACAGGGATCCGTGAGACATCTGCAGATTTGACGGATAATCCAGCCGAGCGACGGAGCAGTCCAGTTACACAATATCAAGCGGCTAAACGCTTCCACCAGCCAGCCACAGCACCGCACAGCGAGAGCAGCCGCTGCGCTGCGCAAGCGACCCAAGATTGGGAAACAGGCGGACGCAGGACGGGCGCTGACAAACGGCTGTTATTCTCTCTGCACTCACAAAGCCGCCGTCTGCGCAGGACTAACACACTGTGACTGTGAACCAAGGCTCTATAGCTGTGAACGACCTGCGTGTGTTGAGAACTGTAAACACGCAGGGCGGGGACCTCAAATGCAGCCCAAACTTTGCCGGAGTCTGCCACAGAGGTTCACTGGCGGGCAAGTCAAATCGTCTACACTAGGCCGAGCTGCGGGGTTCATGAGCTCAAACCACACCGACAGCATAGTTAATTATGTCAATATTTGGCTAGTAGGATGGGCTGCTGAGTCATCGCTTGAACACTAACGGCCTGGGTAATCCCTACTCAGTGCTGTAATTACTGCGATAGAGCGCTCATGACAGTACCGCTCTCTTGATATCAACACCCCCACCCCACACACTATGACCGCCTGAAAAGGGAGTCCCATTTGATCATGTTATGATCGCCCGGCACTGAGGCGGCGCCGAGTTCACTCGCGGGACACACATGGCAGTGATGGACGAACTCGGCACCCTCGCGGTGATGGACTGACTCGGCACCCTCGCGGTGATGGAAGGACTCAGTGGCGGTCATCAGTGTCGGGGGACCGACTGGCCGACTGATGGGGAGGATAAACACAAATACCGAGCGCCGGGAGAGTCGGACGGTGGGGTATGGCTCTGAGAGTCGGACAGTGGAGTTTGGCTCTGATGGACACCAATGTCACTGGCAGGGGACGGTAATGAAGAGAGGCGCCCGAACGCACAGAGAGCATACCTGCCATTCTGCCCTATCGCGACCCGGGTCCAAGAGCCAATCACGACACATCAGAGGAAAATCACTGCCATCAAGAATAACAATAAAAAAATTGCATTCGGCGTTCCACCCATCAGCAAACCAGACCATCACCATCACCAGATCGCGCTTCACCAATTCCATGAAACAGGTAGGCAAGTTCAAGGCCAGGGTTCAAGGCTGGCCTACTGATGCCTAACCTCACTCCCCTCAATGAGCACCTACCGCCCATCAGCCCGATCTGCCCCTCTGACCTTGGGTCGGTCCCTCCACCCTGGCGAAAGGGTGCCCGTGGAATGGACGCGCGCGCAGGCGCCCATAGACATCAGACAGCGCCCCAGAGGCAGGCCATTAGTGATTATCTGGAAGGAGGGCTGCTGAGCGTCGCATTACCGCGCCGTTGGCAGTGGCTGAGCGGTGCTGAGACACCGGCAGCCGGCGCTGAGCTCAGCAGGGGCGCTGAGCTCAGCAGGGGCGCTGAGCTCAGCGGCGCGGTCAGCAGCTGGTGGGCCGGCGGCGGCCCCATCTCAGTCCCACAGCGCCGGCCGAGGGTCACACCGGCAGCTGGTCACTGCGCGGGCCGCTCTGTTTTTACCCAGTCCACACAGGAAACCCGCCGTCATTATCGTATGATCGTCCCGGAGAGCCGAGCACGGCAGCTGGAGCCGGGAGACGGCGCAGTTCCAATCACATAGTTCTACTGGGACCGGGACAGAGGTAGGGAGAGGGAGAGGGAGAGGGGAGGAGAGGGGTAGAGAGCCGATAAAAATACCGGCAGTTCCAGTCGAGTGAGCAGGACGGCGAGAATCAAAGGCAGACACCATTGCCCCAGTCGGGTGAACTCCGTATCACCGCCCGGCGACCACTGACCCAGAGAAACTCCTGGCTCTCAGTGAGATCGAGCCGGACCGGTGACCTATGGAAGGTCACCTCGGACATCCCCGGGGGGAGGGGACGGTCGGTAGGGTCCTGTAAGACCATCCAGTGGACAGCCCGGCGCCCGCGGCTTATGGACGCACAGCTTCCAGCCGAGAGAGCGGAGGGGAGTTAGGGAGCGACACCGGACGACGGCCTGATAGCAGCAGTTTGCAGACGGCGAAGCGGCCGGGAATGCCATCGGAAATACAGGCCATGGGTGAAAGAAAATTCCTTCGTACATGGACAGGCCAATAAGCCGACCGACCGATCGGACGACTCGACCAAATGACCAGCAGATCGGACCCGTACGGACGACCTTTACCGAGCAATGGTGCCGGCTAATTTCAGCCACTACCAGGCGGAATCCACAAGCTTTCTTTACAACTGAGCACAGAGCGGTGCATTTTTTTTTTTTTTACAAAGGACGGATAATGTGGGGCTGGGATAAATGTGAAAGATAACTTATCATTGAGCCAATCAAGCGTTGAGGAGCCAGAGTGAGAGCTTATCGTAATTGGATAAAAAATGTCCAGATCGTA